TATTGCATCGATTCATACTGCGCCAAGGTCCACCCCAGGAGCTTCTCAGCGATCGAGGCCGTGTCTTCTTGTCAGAAGTCGTCGAAGCCATTCTCACGGAGTGCCATTCTGTCCATCGCAAAACTATACTGCTTACCACCCGCAGACGAATGGTCTGACCGAACGCTTTAACCGCACCCTCGGCGACATGCTTTCGATGCACGTCGCCGCCAACCACACGGATTGAAATACTATGCTGCCCTTCGTCACATACGCCTACAACACCGCCCCTCAGAGCACGACCGGGTTTTCACCTTTCTGCTTGCTGTACGGAAGGCACCCGTCACACACCATCGACACGATACTCCGGTACACGCCGGATTCATCTGAGTGTGCACCTATTTCCGAGACCGCCAGGCTTGCTGAAGAGAGTCACGAGCTTGCCAAGACTTTTACGACGCATGAGCAAGAGCGGAAGAAGAGTATTCGTAATGGCTCCACCACTTCTGAGCCCACGTTCCTTCCTGGTTCTCTTGTATGGCTCTCAATCCCGACCTCTGTAGTTGGCCTTTCTTCCAATCTACTTCCCAAATACGAAGGCCCCTGCCGTGTCATCGAGCGCACATCTCCGGTCAACTATCTGATCGAACCAATTGAACAAACTTCGGACATGCCCCGTCGCGGGCGCGCCATGTCAACGTGGAGCGCCTTAAGGCTTACTATGACCCGCTCATAGTGACAAGCTGTTAGGTCGCCAGGCCGCTCCCTCTTCGACCACGGAGTAATTTTAGGGAAGCTTCCGAACACTGAAATTGGTCGAACTCTCAGGTTCCTTCTAGTAAGCCTACCCAAAAAGGATGCCGCTCGCGCTGAGAGCCCGTGCTTGGCCGTTACTGTCTCCATTGTGCATGCTCGCTGTGTGCCGGCTAATAAACGCCTTAACAATTGATATATAAGATACGAGGCATTGAGGGAATCAGTTTCATGGTGCGAAGCAGTCGACGAGTACTAGTCTATGCTCCATCTTTCGGCGGAAGGGGGGAGGGGATTTGAGCCAAGTGTAACGTGGTGAATCGACCTGTTTTTATAAGTGTATTAATGTTTTAGCAGTGTTGCATGCGTTACTGTAAAAAGTAACTAAGTACGTTACTCGTTACTTTAACGAAAAACGCGTTACCACCCTACGATACTTACAAAAAAGGTAACGTGTCACTGCTAATGATAACAAAAAAAAGTAACGCACGTTACCTATACCATTCTGCAGTCAGTCAAAAACTTTATTAAAGGTCCTATGTGAAAAAAAAGGCATATTCTGACAACGTGCTTGCTACTAACAAAGTAGATGCGCGGATTTATTAGCAGCAAAGAAATGCTTTAATGGCCTAGTCACGATAAAAATATTCATGCATAACCATTTTTTATTCACCTATCTAATCAACGCAAGAATTTCGCGCGTTTATGTGAGGATGTTCACAATCAGCCATACGCTGCATGCTCAGGAGTTCAACAACCAGAAACGTAACATGCAGTTGCAGAAATAAAGACGCAAAACTTGTTTTCAAAACTAAGTTAGAAAATCGTATCGGCTTGTAGCAACTTTTACGCAGCAAATATATGAAAGGGTCGCACGCCGAGACATTTTTCAAAAAATAGTTTCCATCACCCTACAAGTTTCAAACAATGTTACTTTAATAAACCCGGCTTGCCCATTCACACATCCCAAAACACGTGAGCCTAAAACAAGAGCAAAGCTCTAAACCTGGTTAAATTAATAAACAAGGACTAAAAAAAAACTGGCGCAGCTTGTGATAAGTCGGGTAAGGCTGGGTCGCTGTATATGGGAACCTGTAGCTGTTCCTGGCTTGGTTAGGCTTTCACCCACTCATCCGGCTCTTTCCCACTCCTTGCTATACTGTACTAAACTGTAACGCTATTTTCCGTAAAGCATCTGGGCGGCGCCATCTTATAGGCTGCTATATCTATGTTTTCTCGTCTTTATATATCTCGACTGGGATTAATAAGGCCATAAAACATCCTACGCATCAATTGAACCGTTATCGTGCGTATGCGTGCACCGTAACACTGTTTAGTTGTTAAAGATACAAAAGGCAGAGGTTAACCGCCCCAGTATATGGCGGCACTCAAACATATCCGTGAAACAGTCTATATGCTTGATCTCTTCTATTGTAATGCGCCGCAGGAATCGGGCTAGTACCAGTGCTCAGAATACAGTTCCACTAAACATTAGGAACACATGGGCTAGAAACAACGTTTAAGGGCTGCACGTTTCAGCGCTTTCGTGCTAAATCATCTGTACCGAGTGCTTGGGTGGGAAATAAGCTCGTGCTAGTTCATGATGATGATAATTTTATCTCTACTACGCACGTAAAACAGCGACCATAGCAACTCTGCCCAATAATATTTACTGGTAATAACCAAGAAGCAATCGCAATAATCGTCGTAAAATCGCTAAATGTGCTTCGGGAAACACGCGGCTGATATCCGCGCCGTGCAAGAGAGGGCGCCAACCTCGACAGGCGAGTGTGAAATGTGCGAGGACAGCGGCCCGCGTCAGTGAGATCCAAGACCGCTCACCGATATTCTCGTGCAGTACACTAAATAAACTTAGTATTATCTTTGATTGCTCCTTCACACAGGCGCTACGAACTCACGCGAGAAATCATTCATATATGCAGGGACCACGGGCGTAGCCGTAAGTTTTTATTAGGTTGCGTGGAGGGGGAAGGGTTTAATCATATCTTCTAGAACTGAAAGTAAATTTCGCACAACTTGCAAATCCTCCGAAAAAAATCGCAGATCCACACACTCTTCCACCCAAGAAACACACCGCACGCAGCGCTCACTGCCAAACTGTTTATTGCGCCTGACTGACCGCCTTATAGACGTACAGGATATTGCGCAAAAGCAACGATTAACAAAGGCGCGCATGTGCAAATTCAACAGGCGATACAGGAACCAGCCTCCACCCAACAAAGTTAGAAAATATGTAAAAGAAAGAAAACAAAGACGAGTAAACCCGCTAGAAGCACAATATGACGAATTACACCAATTAGTCCAACAACAAGTTATAATTTATGTGCATGTTCGAGCGTGCGTTTTTTGTGTGCGCGCGTGTGCGTGCATGTGCGTGCGTGTGTGTTCGTATATATACGCAAACAAAAGCAAAGGGGAGTTTGAATCCGGAACCCCCCTCCTTCCGTTGGCTGCGACACTCACAGGGACTAACAACAGCACAACGGAAATCGCTGGATGTCCACGTGGCAAGCACTTCCTTAGGTTTCTCAGTATAGCGAAGCTGCGTTTATAACAACACTAGGACTTCTTAACCCAAGCAGGGTATTAGTGTTGGATTTCTTGCCGTTTTTTCTCTCACTTTGCCCCGTGACCACACGTCCTCGACATGTAACAGCTATAGCCGCCACAGGATCCACTTTGGTGCGTGCATGCGCAGACACGACGACCCTGAAAAACATCATTCTGCACGGCAGTTGGCACGACTTCCTGAGCGGACGCGCGCTGATCTCCACGCCGTGCAAGAGAGGGCGCCAACCTCGACAGGCGAGTGTGAAATGTGCGAGGACAGCGGCCCGCGTCAGTGGGATCTCAGACTAAAGGTCCCGCTCACCGATCTTCTCGCGCAGTACTCTAATTAAACGTTGTATTATATTTGATCGCTCCTTCACACGGGCGCTGCGTATCTGTTACGACATCATGCGAGAAATCATTCATATATACAGGGACCACGGGCGTAGTCGTAAATCTTTATAAGGTTGCGGGGAGGGGGGGGGGGGTTTAATTATATCTTCTAAATTGAAAGCAAATTTCGCACAACTTGCAAATCCTCCGAAAAGCTTGGTCTATCATCACTTTCTAAAAGACGAGACATCGAGTCTCTGAAACTTTTTCACTCTTTATTTAATTCCCCGCAATATTCACCACACAACAACTACATAACACCTGCCAAACCATCATCCACCAGAAACAGCCACGCACTTAATGTATCTGTGTTTCATCCTCGTACTGGTTTCTTCAAATACACCTTTTTTCCTCGATGTATTGAAATGTGGAACCTCATACCAGGTCACATTCGGTCTTTGCAGAAAGATGAATTTTTGAAAGCATTAAAAGACGGTGTGCTGTAAACCTTTCCTTGTTTGTATAACTCTGTAAAATTTTTGTATTTCTATGATCTGCCAATGTACTTGTGTATTAAGCTGTTTTGTTTTGTACCTTTTTGTTATTTCTTGCTGTGTACCCACTCCTGCGATAGCCCCATAACGGCTGCAGTATTTGAAAATAAATAAATAAATAAATAAAAACTCGCACATCCACACACTCTTCCACCCAAGAAACACACCGCACGCAGCGCTCACTGCAAAACTGTCTATTGTGCCTGACTGACCGCCTTATATATGTACAGGATAATGCGCAAAAGCAACGATCAACAAAGGCGCGCGTGGGCAAATTCAACAAGCGATACAGGAACCAGCCTCCACCCAACAAAGTTAGAAAATATGTAAAAGAAAGAAAACAAAGAAAGACGAGTAAACCCGCTAGAAGCACAATATGACGAATTACACCAATTAGTTCAACAAGTTATTATAATTTATGTATATGTTCGAGCGTGCGTTTGTGTGTGCGTGCGTGGGTGCGTGTGCATGCGTGTGTGTTCGTATATATACACAAACAAAATTGAAAGATTTCTGGAGAGTTCGAATCCCCAACCCCCCTCCTCCCGTTGGCTGCGACACTTACAGGGACTAACAACAGCGCAACGGAAATCGCTGGATGTCCACGTGGCAATCACTCCCTCAGGTTTCTCAGTATAGCGGAGCTGCATTAAGCGCAGGGCTTATAACCACACTGGAACTTGAGCCAAGCAGGGTATTAGTGCTGGATGTTCTGCCTTTTTTTCTCTCACTTTTGCCCCGTGACCACACGTCCTCGACATGTAACAGCTATAGCCACCACACCATCCACTTTGGTGCGTGCATGCGCAGACACGACGACCCTGAAGAACATCATTCTGCACGGCAGTTGGCACGATTTCCTGAGCGGACGCGAGCTGTTTCTGAGAGACCGGTGCCCCGTGGACACGTGCACCGTCTACTGGAGCTACGGTGAGCATCTCGGCGGGCGAACCAGCGAGGGTGGTGGCGTCGTAGATGCCGTTATCTACCAGGACTGGTACGTTAGTAAGGACAACGGAAGCAGCGATGGGCACCAAGTGAAGATCCTGTATCTGCTCGAGAACCCTATGAACACCTACGTCTCTCCTGCAGACGCGGGCATCGATTGGACGGCCACATACAGGTACGTGAATGAGCTCCGTAAGGACCGTAGGTCGGCGAAGATTCACTCGTGAAATACATGTTGCGCTTAGGGCTCACGATCGGACTCACCAAAATTTCCTTAGCTGGTGTGCTATTCTGGGCATTGTCTTATTCCGCCATATTGTCAAATTTCGTAATGGCGGCGTTTTAAGTCAATCAAAGAGGTCGTAGCAGCTCACTTGGTCAATTACCATGGCGGAATCCGACAACATGGCGGAATGCGACAATGTCCAGAATAGCACCCCTGGACTCACTCGGACTTACGGCTCGATCGTCTGAGTGAACCCGAGTGAGTCGACTCACAAGTCTGTTAGCCTAGAACAAGCTTTTTTTTCGGCCACATAAGTGTCGACGTTCTTGAACCACGATATATCACGCAATAAATGCTCTTCTAGGTGCATTTCGATCTAATGTATACATCGAATTACGAGTTATATATGAATGGCTGAATGGCTTCAAACCAGTAGTGGTATTTTCTTGAAAGTGATGACAACATAAGATATATTGATTTTGTAAGAACTTCCCTGGAACAGCCGGTGGTGGGAAGGCCAATGCACCCCTCTATGTAATCCACACCTGTGTCAATAAATACTGAAATGGTGTATGAACGATGCCGCTTTGGAATACGTGTGAGCATAGACGTGAGTATAGAGGTGAATTCAGGTAAGGCTGATTGTAACGGTGAAAATGAGTGAATAAGGGACTAAGGACATCGACTTCACACATCTATAGGAATAACTTGTGGGGTTTTTTCGTGCCAAACTCTCGACATGATAGCGAAAGCGACGCAGTAAAAGGCTCCAAAAATTTATACCATCGGGTGCTCTTTGACCACCGCTGGCATCGCAGAGTACACGGGCTTCTATAGCATTTCAACTCCACAGAGATGTCACCACCACCGCCAGGATCGAACTCATGACCTTCGAGTCTGTAGCCGGGCACCTTATAGTCATTGTGCCATTGCAGTGGCCGCTTCACAAATTTGTTAAATGCTTTGACGGAACGACAGGGCTTGGGATGACATTCTATATCGACTTCCACTCTGCATGTTCATTCGAGTTAGAGTTCAGAAACATTACAATTGCTCCATGTAGTAAATGGTTTGGCATTCCTTGGCTAATAATGTTCGTAAAGCATCCCTAATTAAATGCAACTTTCAGCTAATTTCAGAATTCCATTCAAGAGAAATATAGGAAGCCGTGAATTCGCCCTTACGATGGCGGCTCGACAGGCTGCTTGTGAATGAGCTTACGTGAAAAAAATTACGTACGCGAGACGCACGGCAACTAAAACACACATAAAAGTAATGTTACGATAAAACCGATCAGTATTTTCAGCCTACTGAAGTCTGCTGGAGGACGAAGACTTTTCCCGATGATCTCCATTTCCTTCTGTATTGCGCTGATTCCATTTTATGCCCGCCGATATGCCGATATCCCCCCCCCCCTTCTCTCTCTATTTCATGATGAAAGTATAAAAGAGCGCTCCAACACAGGACATAGGAAATAAGAGAAACAAACGATAGTGAACTTGCAACTGATTTATTGGAAAAAAACATGCACGTTTATTAGAGGTGGGCGCTCAAGCTGATTGTCAAAGATCATATCACACATGATATACCTGTCTGACCGTAAGGTGCAGCCTCGTTTGAGCTTCCTAACCCCCCTCCCTATTTAACAAGCCCATTTCGTTTGATGATAGCGCCAGGAAAGGCTGACAATACGCGCCTACCATGCATGTCGCTTTTCGTGTTATGTGCAAGGCCTCAGCCATTTCTCTTGTGTAGGCGCAATCATGCATAAACAGCATATCCGTGTCAACAAAAAACAGCACACACTCACACTCGGAACACTTGAACAAGTTCGTTAATTTCTTTTCTAATGAATTCATTGCTCAAGAAGCCTAACATTTATGCGACGGCCAGCTTGTCCTATATATGTACGGCTATATATATATATATATTATATATATATATATATATATATATATATATATATATATATATATATATATATATATATATATATATATATATATATATATATATATATATGATGTTACGGGGAATAAAGTATACACTGATGAACAAATGTGTACTGGCGCGAATATACTGGCGAGCTAATGCGTACGACGCTGCTGCAGTCCGAGCACGTTCCCGTTCAGCACTTCGTCGTCGTCATCCTCAGGCATCTACTTAGCCCGTGACATTACCCGCCGGCGGCAGAAGCACCGTCCCGGTGCGATCAATTCTCGGGGCGTGAGAAGTATGGCTTAAGCCGTGAGACGTGCACTATATCGGTCGGGACTGAAGCTGGTACTGACGTGGTATGGAGTGGAGCTATCTCACAGGTCACGCTGGTGACCTTGCGTATGACGCGGTAGGGGCCGACGTAACGGGACATCAGTTTTTCGCTGAGACCAACACGACGTGATGGTAACCACAGCAAGACGAGTGACCCCGGAGGGTACTGTACGTCGCGGTGCCGGCGATCGTAAGCACTCTTTTGGTTAAGCTGCGAGGCACATAAACGATCCCGGGCGACTTGGCGGGCGATGTCAGCTCGGGCCAGGGCATCACGAGCATAAGCAGTCGATGAGGCGGCGTCAGATTGGAGCATGGTGTCCATGGGCAAAGGCGGGTCATAACCGAACAGTAGGTAAAAAGGGGAAAATCCAGCTGTATCATGACGTGAACTGTTGTATGCGAAGGTAACGAAAGGTAAGTGGATGTCCCAATCTTTGTGATCCTTGGAGACGTACATCGCTAACTTATTCGTCAAGGTACGGTTGAGGCGTTCCGTGAGGCCGTTGGTTTGCGGATGGTACGCTGTAGTGAACTTGTGGTGGGTAGAGCAGGATCGCAGGAGCTCGTCGACTACTTTAGATAGAAAACAGCTGCCGCGGTCGGTGATCAACTGACGAGGAGCACCATGACGCAGAATGATGTCATGAAGAAGGAAATCGGCTACATTAGTAGCGCAGCTGGTGGGGAGGGCGCGTGTAACGGCATACCGCGTTGCGTAGTCGGTAGCAATAGCAATCCACTTATTACCGGTGGCCGACACGGGAAAGGTTCCTACAAGATCGAGGCCGACTCGGAAAAATGGCTCATCTGGTACTTCAATGGGCTGGAGGGTACCAGCAGGTCTCAGAGCAGGTGTCTTGCGGCGCTGGCAGAGGTCGCATGCCGCAACGTACTGTCGCACAGAACGGTAGAGGCCAGGCCAAAAGAATCGGCGGCGAATGCGGTCATACGTGCGTGACACCCCTAGGTGTCCAGCGGACGGGGCATCATGCACCTGGGCCAAAACGTCTGAGCGAAGATGCACAGGAACGAGTAAAAGCTCAGCACCATCAGGGCGGTTGTTGTAGCGGTGCAAGATGTCGTTGTGAAGAACGAACAGTTGTAAGGAGTGGTCAGGGTGGGGAGAGTGCAGACCATTGATAATAGCACGCAAAGAGGGGTCGCGGCGTTGTTCAGCAGCTATGTCGGTGAAGTCGGTAATTGAAAGAACGAGGGCCTCTTGCTCATCTTCCCTCGTGTCAGGGGGATCGACTGGGTAACGGGACAAGCAGTCGGCATCCTTGTGAAGTTGTCCGGATTTATAGGATACGGAAAAAGTGTACTCTTGTAAGCGCAGCGCCCAGCGACCAAGGCGTCCCGTAGGGTCCTTGAGTGAGGAGAGCCAGCAAAGCGCATGGTGGTCCGTAATAACTGAGAATGGTCGGCCATACAGGTACGGTCGGAATTTCGCAATGGCCCAGACGAGAGCTAAGCACTCGCGTTCTGTGATGGAATAATTTTGTTCCGAGCGCGACAACAGACGGCTTGCATACGCGACGACGCGGTGGATTCCTTGTTGCAGCTGCGCGAGCACTGCGCCCATGCCGTGGCCACTGGCGTCAGTACGAAGCTCCGTGGCAGCAGATGGGTCGAAGTGTGCTAGGACTGGTGGATTGGTGAGAATGTCGACGAGCGACGAGAAGGCGTTTGCTTGCTGTTGGCCCCAGGTGAATGCGACATCCGTTTTGAGGAGGCAGGTTAGAGGACGGGCTACTTCAGCGAACGTCTCGACAAAACGACGGAAATAGGAGCACAGTCCCAGAAAACTTCGGACGTCCTTGGCTGAGCGGGGTGTGGGGAAGTCGCGAACTGCTCGGACTTTCGCAGGGTCTGGTTGAACGCCCGCAGCGTTAACAAGATGGCCGAGTACGCAGATTTGGCGTTGCCCAAAGCGGCATTTGGACGAGTTAAGTTGCAAGTTGGCACGTCGAAAAACATCAAGCACTGCGGACAGACGAGTAAGATGGTCGTCAAAAGTAGTCGAAAAAACAATAACGTCGTCAAGATAGCAGAGGCAGATGGTCCACTTCATGCCTCGAAGGAGAGAGTCCATCATGCGCTCAAATGTCGCGGGGGCATTGCATAATCCAAAAGGCATCATCTTGAACTGATAAAGACCATCAGGAGTCACAAAGGCCGTCTCTGCCACAACGATCTGCCAGTAGCCTGAGCGAAGGTCTATTGAAGAGAAATATTTGGCACCGTGCAAGCAATCGAGTGCATCATCTATGCGCGGTAGGGGATAGACATCTTTCTTGGTAATATGGTTGAGATGGCGGTAATCAACACAGAATCTCCAGCTATTGTCCTTCTTTTTAACAAGTACAACGGGTGAGGACCAGGGACTAGATGAGGGTTCGATTATGCCCTTATCAAGCATTTTATCGACTTCTCGCTGTATAAAAGCACGCTCCGGGGCTGACACACGGTAGGGTCGATGCGTCACCGGTGTCGATGCGATGGGTTACTACAGATGTCTGGCCCAAATTACGGTTGCCGAAGTCAAAGATGTCCTGATAAGAAGCAAGCACACGGCAGAAAGGAGAGACTTGTTCAGAGGTGAGCTTGTCAGATAGCATTGGCTTGAAAAGGTCGGAACAGGAACGTGACGAGAACGACGTTGATGAAAAATCGGG